TTCATGACTCCCTAGGTAATATTTATACTCAAATAGACGGCATTGCAATGGGATCTCCTTTAGGTCCCCTTTTTTCTAATTATTATTTTCGTTTTAGCTAAAAATATGGATCAAATTACACAACTTAAAAACAAATTTGAAAGTTACTCTGTCCTCAAATTTACATTAGAACTTAATATTAATAATAAAATTCTATCCCTTGATTTACTTATTGATTCCAGCATACATAAATTCACTACTTCTCTATATAGGAAACCCACAAGCATTAATTCGTGTCTTTTTAATTGTAATAGTGAATGCCCCCAAAGATATCAGTTAGCCGTTATAAAAAACTTAATCCAACGCACACAAATGATATCTTCTTCTAAAACCATATTCTATAAAGAATTACATAACATTAAACAAACAATAATAATAATAATGGATTCCCTAATTCCGTCATTGATCAACAAATTAAAATGTATCTCAATAAACTTAATGATACCACTAACAGAACTGATATTAATAATAATAACGTCAGAGTAAACATAAAACTATTAACTGATACTATTGCAATCAAATACATAATAATTACAAACAGGATGAGATAACACTCAAAAATATAATATATAGAAATGTCAAACCCATTAATAATAATAAACACGTTAAGCTCATCATATATTATAAAACATTTAAAAGAATTGTCCTCATAATCTACAATAACGCTGCGACCACACAAATAAATCCTCTACAAAAAACCAATGTAGTGTATCAATTTACATTCCCATTCAGAGATTATATCTCTGATACCAATAATAAATCCACTATATACATTGGTTTTACTACAACCACCCTCTCCCGTAGACTAACCTGTTTCTTTTCTAATCTTAGTTCTATTAAACAACATTTCTTAAAGAAAACATAGTCATGTACATAATATCAGACAGATATTAGTTGATAACACAGCAATATTCACACATGCGGGTGAGGCATGGCACGTGGAACTGGAACAATCTACCCCGGTGGACGAAATAAAGGGTCCAGTTCGAAATTCCAAGAATCCCGGAGCGTACAACGGCCGAAACGTTATGAATATAGCAATGAAGATGAGGATAGCAGTCCGAATAATGTAAATGATGCAACTAAAAATATGGAGTTAGTGCTTTTGTCTCGAATAATTGCCTCAATTCTATGTGGTATTGAATGGTGTAGATTTTTTTCATTGGGAATGTTTCCTAATATTCTTGGCAGTAACCTCAAAGCATTTGGAGATTTCGTGGTTTTTGTTGAAACACTTGTTTCTTCAGTTCCCACCACAATGGTTCACAATCGTTCAATTATATTGAAATCAGGACTTTATGTTAGCCAGACTTCCAAAAGATAAACATCTTAATTCATAAGAAATCCTTTTTTTGTTTCACGTGATATGCGGCAAAGACCACCGTCATGCTGGAAAACTTCCAAATCTTCGTAGTCTGGCAGAAGATTAGACAGTATTAAACTAATATAGCTTTCACTGTTTAGGTTTCCATTAACTTTTACAAATTTTCATTTGCCCTCGCTTTTGACGAAACCTCAACACTATTACAAGTCCATTACTAAACGTTTACCGTTTTTCTGGTGCAAATTACATTATTTCTTTCTACCACTGGTCTTCTTACATATTCATACAGGTTGTTTTTTTCGTAATACTCTGATTACTGTATCAACTGAAACCTCAATCTTATGACTGCAGTCACTCCTCACTTGTCTGGATGTTAAATTTTGGATTGCCTACTGAGACTGTTACAATCTGTCATTTATCTCTCTTGTCTATCTTTCAAAGTTTTCCGGTTTTCTTTGCACTTAAAACACTTCCGGTTGTAGCAAAGATCTTTTGGTTGGTTTGAATATTGTTTCTTGATATTCCAAGCCGTCTGACTATCTCCCGTTGAGTAATGATTCCATTCAAAGTCACAAACTTTAATCTTTGTTTCAGTAGAATGTTTAGTCCAGATTACCTATAGGCTAGAAAAGGGGGATAATGTTCAACTACAATTATTTGCCAAGGTACCTTACACTCATGTTAATATGATGGAACAATTCCTACTTGGAAATTTGTAGATTATCATGATTTTATCATCTCAGATCTTTCATTGGCCCAATAGTTTTGCATGACCTTTTATCAGTTTCAAACTGTTTTTAAAGCAGCGTGTCTTCCGTGACACCTGTTGCGCATGTCGGTGATTACCGGCAAGGGGGTGGCTAATTCCCATAGATGTAGCCCCTTTCACGCCGTTAGGTTTCACATAATCTGAGTTGTTAGCCATGATTTGTCTTGGGATTGGTAGTGGAGCAAACAGCATAGATGCGCATAGGGATCGTGTTCAGTGAATATACAGAAAACTGAAAGGGACGTAAGGCAAGGATGCGTCTTCTTACCAGACCTGTTCAACCTACACAGCGAGGCAATTCTGAGAGAATTGGAAACCCTACCGGGATTTAGCATTGGCGGCCACAATCTTAACAACATAAGATACGCAGATGACATGGTACTGATAGCAGACACGGAAATGAAATTAAAAAATCTCCTGCAGAAGGTAGCGACGGAGAGTGAGAAGAAAGGACTAAGCATAAACTACAAGACGACAGAATGCATGGTTATTAGTAAGAAGATGAGCCCAAAACGCGAGTTGTAGGTCCGGAACACTAGAATCATGCAGACGCGAAAGTTTAAATATCTGGGAAGCCTCTTGACATAGGACGGTAAGTGCAACACTGAGATCCGTAAACGTACTGGGATGACCAAGGACACATTCCAAAAGCTGGGCAGAGTATGGCGAGACAGGAGGATTTCTTTGGCAACAAAGAAATGAATACCGAGCTGTTATGTGGCATCTGTCCTTCTTTACGACAGCGAATGTTGGACGATTTCCTCAAAGATGAAGAAGAGACTCGAGCAACAGAGATGTGGTTCTACAGAAGGATGCTAGGGATATCATGGACCGAGCGTATGAACAACGATGAGATCTTAGAGAGGTTGAAAACAAGGAGGTTTATACTTAACATCAGGAAGAGGCAGCTGATGTTTCTGGGACACATGATGAGAGAGGAGGGTCTGGAGAATCTGATACTCACGGGTCGAATAGAGTGAAAGAAAGACAAGAGAAAAAAATGCGTGACATACCTGGCAGGGTTAAGCAAATGGATGACAGAGCATGGTCTGGGGGAGGAGGCAGAGGGAAGGAACTTGTTGAGAGCTGCAAGGGATAGAGAGAGGTGGAGAGCCATGATCGCCTACGTCCTGAAAGGACATTGCACATAAAAAGAAAGTCTTCTGTGACAAAGCACTTATAAGAAGGCAACAACCTATTTTTCCATCTTCAAGGTCCACGGGTACTAATGATAAATGGATACCATTAAACAATCTTAACTTGTTAATAAGGGTGGATAATCATTTTATGTGGTTGACCCAACACTTTTGCACGCCAGTGTATATGTGGGCGTCACTATGATTGCAAGTGAAAGTTGCACAAAATGCAACAGATGATGTCGGCTATCCGCTTTAGAAAGTTTAAGCAGAGGGCGTTATTTTTTTTTTTTTTTTGGATCCACTCCCTTGCCGATGGGTGGGATATGGTGTTGCGGGGTAGAAAACGATGATCGGGTATGTGCGATACCGTAGGAAAAGGTTGGTGAGGGTGGTGGAAGATTACGCAAGATGCGAAAGAGCATCTTGACTTCGGAGGAGAGCACCTGGCTAATGCCCAATGTACTTTTCACAGACCTGTCACACATTCCTTATTTAACTCCTCCCCCATCCACCATTCTACTCCTCTCCGCCATTTAACTCCTCCCCGCTCCTCTTCCACTTCCTCATTAAAAGTCGTTTTCTTCTTCTTTCTCTTCTTTCAGTAAATTTCCTCCCCCTTTAACACTGTTTCCTCCTCCTCTTCCACTTCAATTCTCTATTTTTTCTACTCTTTTCTCTCTTAGTCTCAATATAATTTCCTTTCTTACTTTCTCTGCACTTTTATCCTCTGTACATTATTCTCCTCCTACTCTCCTTCCCTATTCTTTATACTCTCTTCCCCCTTTCCTTCGCCTGTATTCCCTCTCTATATTCTTTTCCTTCTTTCTCGCTTCCTTATACTTTCTATATTCTTCTCCTCCTACTCTCCTTCTCTATTCTTTATACTCTCTTCCCCCTTTCCTTCGCCTGTATTCCCTCTCTATATTCTTTTCCTTCTTTCTCCTTTCTTATACTTTCTATATTCTTCTCCTCCTACTCTCCTTCTCTATTCTTTATACTCTCTTCCCCCTTTCCTTCGCCTGTATTCCCTCTCTATATTCTTTTCCTTCTTTCTCGCTTCCTTATACTTTCTATATTCTTCTCCTCCTACTCTCCTTCTCTATTCTCTTCCCTTTTTATCTTCGCCTGTATTCCTCTCTTCCTTCTTTTCCTTCTTTCTCCTTCCTCTTCTCTCTATTCTTCTCCTCCTATCTCCTTCCTATTCTTTTCCTTTCCCTTTCCTTCTTACTTCTTTTCCCTCTTCTCTATTCTTTTTCCTTCTTTTCTCTTTTTTTCCCTTTGTTTATCTTTCTCTTCGTATTCTTTTTGTCCTCCTTTTCTCTCCTTCCTATTCTTTATACTCTTTCCCCTTTTCCTTCGCCTGTATTCCTCTCTATATTCTTTTTTTCCTTCTTTCTCTTTCTTCCTTATACTTTCTATATTCTTCTCCTCCTACTCTCCTTCCCTATTCTTTATACTCTCTTCCCCCCTTTCCTTCTCGCCTTTATTCCCTCTCTATATTTCCTTTTCCTTCTTTCTCCTCTTCCTTATTCTTTCTATATTCTTCTCCTCCTCTCCTTCTTCATTCTTATTTTTTCCCATTTTCTTTCTTCCCCCTTTCCTTCACCTCCTATTCCCCTCTCTATATTCTTTTTCCTTCTTTCTCCTTTCCTTTTTTCTTTCTATTTTTTCTTCTCCTCCTATTCTCCTTCCCTATTCTTTTTTATCTCTTCCCCCTTTTTATCGCTCCATGTATTCCCTCTCTATATTCTTTTTCCTTCTTTCTCCTCTCCCTTATTCTTTCTATTTCTTCTCCTTCTACTCCTTCCCTATTCTTTCTCTTTCTTCTTACTTCCCCCTTTCCTTCGCCTGTATTCCCTCTCTATATTTTTTTTTCTTTCCTTCCCTTATTTCTTTCTATTTTCTTCTCCTTCTCTCCTTCTCTATTCTTTTTATCTCTTTCCTCCCTTTCCTTCGCCTGTATTCCCTCTCTATATTCTTTTCCCCCCTCCTTCTTTTTTCTTTCTCCTTTTATTCTTTCTATATTCTTCTCCTCCTACCTCTTCCGCCTTCCCTTTTTCCTCTTTCTCAATCTTTCTACTTCTCTTCCCCCTTTCCTTCTTCTTCTTTTTTCTTCTCTATATTACTTCTTCCTTTTTCCTCCTTCTCCTTATTCTTTTCTATATTCTTCTCCTCCTTTATCTCCTTCTCTATTCTTTCTACCTCTTCCCTTTCCTTTAACCTTTTTCCCCTCTCTCATATTCTTTCTCCTCCACCTCTTTCTCACTTCCTTCATTCTTTTCTTTTTTTCTTCTCCTTCCTACTCTCCTTCTCTATTCTTTATACTCTTTCCCTTTCCTTTGCCTTCTATTCCCTCTCTTTATTCTTTTCCTTTATTTCTCCTTCCTTATTTGTTTCTATATTCTTTCTCCTCCTCCTACTCCTTCTCCTCCCTATTCTTTATACTCTCTTCTTCGTTTTATACCTTTCCTTTCTTTTCTTCCTTCCTTTCTTCCCTCTTCCCCTCTTTCTTTTCCTTCTTTTCTTTTTTCCTTCTTTTTCCTTTCTATATTTCTCTCCTCCTGTTTTTATTCCCCCTTTCCTCCTCCCCCTCTTTTCTTTTCCTTCCACCTCCTTATATTTCTATATTCTTCTCCTCCTACTCTCCTTCCTATTCTTTATACTTCTTTTCTTCCTCTCTATATTCTTTTCTTTTTCTCCTTCTTTATACTTTCTTTATTCTTCTTTGTTTTCTATCTCCCTTCTTATTCTTTCTATTTATTTTTACTCTTTTCCCCCCTTTCCTTTCCCTCCCCCTCCTCCTATATTCTTTTCCTTCTTTCTCTTTCTTTCCTTTCTTTCTTTCTTTCTTCTTCCCCTACTTCCTTCTCTATTCTTTTCCTTCTTCCCTTTCCTTCGCCTGTATTCCTCTCTATATTCTTTTCCTTCTTTCTCGATTCCTTATTTTTTTTATATTTTCTCTCCTCTCTCCTTCCTTTCTCCTTCTCCTCCACCTTCTCCTGTATTCCTCTCTCTATTCTTTTCCTTCTTTCGATCCCTTTTCTTTCTACCTTCTTCTCCTCCCACTTTTCCTTCTTTTCTTTTTTCTTCTTTCCTTCCTTTGTTTTCCTACTTTTTTTCTTTATTCTTTCCTTTAACTTCTTTCTCCTTCCCTCAATCTTTATATTCTCCTCCCCTTCCCTCCTTCTACTTATTCTTCTCTATATTCTTTTCTTCTTTCTCTTCCTTTCTTTCTTTCTTCTCCTCCTTTCTCTTTCCCTATTCTTTATTTTCTCTTCCCCTTTCCTTCGCCTGTATTCCCCTCCTCTATTCTTTTTTAACTTCTTTCTCGCTTCCTTATACTATCTCTTCTCCTCCCACTTTCCTTCTCTATTCTTTATACTCTCTTCCCCCTTTCCTTCGCCTGTATTCCTCTCTCTCTTTTCTTTCCTTCTTTCTCTTTCTCCATTTATTTCTTCTTTTCTATCTTCTTCTCTCTCCTCCTCTCCTTCTTATTCTTTATATTCTTTTTCCCCTTTTCTTTCTCCTTCTTTTATATTCTTCTTATTCTTTTCCTTTCTTTCTCTCTTCCCCTTCCTTTCCTTTCTTTCCTCCTTCTTTCCTTCTCTATTCTTCCTTTATTCTTTCTTTATCCTTATCCTCTCTTTCCCCTTTCCTTCTTCTTTCCTCCTCCCCTCTTTTATTCTTTTCCCTCTTTTCTCTTCCTTATATTCTTCTTCTTCTTTTGTTCTTTCTCCTTTCTATTTTCTTACTTCTTCCCCTTCCTTCCTTCCCTTCCTTCTCTATTCTTTTTTTTCTTTTCTTTTTTCTTCTTATGTTTTCTATCCTTCTTCTCCTTTATCTTTCTCCCATTCTTTATTTCTTCCCCCTCCTTCGCCTTATTTGTTTTTTTCTTTTTTTCCTCTCTCCCTCCTCCTCTATATTTCTCCTCTTCTTCTCTCCACTCTCTTCCCCCTTTCCTTCTTCCTTATTCCCTTCTATATTCTTTTTCTTTCCTTCTTTTCTTCCTTCCTATACTTTCTATTTCTTCTCTTCCTCTCTCCTTCTTTATTCTTTTTCTCTCTCTTCCCTTTCCTTTCTCCATTTATTCCCTTCCTTATTCTTTTCCTTCTTTCTCCTTCCTTATACTTTCTATATTCTTCTCCTCCTCTTTTTCCTTCTCTATTCTTTATACTCTCTTCCCCTTTCCTTCGCCTTCCCTCTTTCCTATTCTTTTCCTTCTTTCTCTTTTCCTTATCTTTCTTTCTATTTTTTATCTTTTTTCATTTCCCTTATAATTTATTTTTTTTCTTTTCTTTCTCCTTCTCTATTCTTTATACTCTCCTCCCCTTTTTATTCCCTTCTTCCTTCTATATTCTTTTCCTTCTTTCTCTCCTCTCTTTATACTTTCTATATTCTTCTCCTTTTCCTTCTTTTCTCCTTCTCTGCCCTTCCTCACTTTCCTTCGCCTCCTATTTTCTTTTTCTTCTCTCCTCCTTCTTTCTTCTCCTGTTCTTCCTTATACTTTCTATTTTCTTCTCCTCCTACTTCTTTCCTTCTTTCCTATTCTTTATACTCTTTCCCCCCCTTTCCTTCGCCTTTTTCCCTTATTCTTTATATTCTTTTCCTTCTTTTTCCTTCCCCTTATTTCTATATTCTTCTCCTCCTACTCTCCTTCTCCCTCTCACTCTTTCTTTTCTCCCCCTTTCCTTCGCCTTTATTCCCTCTTTTTATATTTCTTTTTTCCTTCTTTCTTATACTTTCTATATTCTTCTCCTTCCTTCTCCTTCTTCTATTCTTTTCCTATCCTCTTCCCCCTTTCCTTCCTTTATTTATTTCCCTCTTATTTCTTTTTTTTCTTTCTCCTTCCTTATACTTTCTATATTCTTCTCCTCCTCCTCCTTCTATCTTTTATTCTTCCCCTATGTTCTTTTCCTTTCTTTCTATATTCTTTTCTTCTTTCCTCTTCCTTTATACTTTCTTTTCCTTCTTCTCCTTTTTTCTTCTTTCTTTTCTATCCCTCCTTCGTTTATTCCCCTCTCCATTTATTTTCCTTCTTTTCTTTCCTTATTTGTTTTATTCTTTTCCCCTCCTTTCTTTCTCTTTTCATATCCTCTCTTCCCCTCTTCTTCCTTTCTTTTCTTTCTTTCTTTTCCTTTCTTCCTTTCCGCTCCATTCTTTTCCTTCTTTCTCCTTTTTATTCTTTGTTTTCTATCCCCTTTATCTTTCCCTTTATTTTACCTCTATTTTTTCCTTCTTTCTCCTTCCTTATTCTTTCTCTTCTCCTTCTCCTCCTCCTTCTATTCTTCTTTTCGATTGTTCTTTCTTTCTTTCTTTTTCCTTTTCTTTCTTTATTTTTCTATTCCTTCTTCTTTTTATCCCTTCTTTCTCTTTTTCTTCTTTGTTTTTTTAACCTCTTTCTCCTCTCCTCCTATCTCTTCTTCCCACCTTCTCCTTACTTTCTTCCATCTCTTCCTTTTTTTTTAACCCTTTCTTCTTCCTCTTCTCTATTCTTTTCCTTCTTTCTCTTTTCTTCTTTGTTTCTCCTTCTCCTCCTTTATCTTTCCTTCTCTATTCTTTATTTTTACTCTCTTCCCCTTTTTCTCTTCCTCCCCTCCCCTCTCTATTTCTTTTCCTTCTTTCTCTTTTCCTTCCCTTCTTTCTTTCTTTCCTCCTCTTTTCTCTTTTTTTCTCCTTTATTTTCCTTTATTTCCTACCTTCCTCTCTTTGTTTTTTAACCTCTTTCTCCTCCTCCTCAATCTTTCTCTTCTCCTCCACCTCCCTTCTACTTCTTCTTCTTTCGATTTTTCTTTCCTTTCTTTCTTACTTCTTTTTCTTCCTACCTCTTTCCTTCCTTCTTTTCCTTCTTTCTCTTTTTCTTCTTTTTTTCCTCTCTTCATTTATCTTTCTCCATTTATTTCTTCCTCATCCTTATTTGTTTTTAACCTCTTTCTCCTCTCCTCAATCTTTCTCTCCTCCACCTCCTCCTTCTACTTCTTCTTCTTCTTTTCTTTCTTTTTTTCTTTTTTCCTTCTTTTCTTCCTTTCTCCCTTCTTCCCTCTTTTCTTTTCTTCTTTCTCTTTTTCTTCTTTTCCTTCTCCTCTCTTCTTTTTATCTTTCTCCATTTATTTCTTTATTCTTCTCCTCTACCTTCTTTATTTTTTAACCTCTTTCCCCTTTCCTCCCTTCTTTCCCTCTCTTTTCTTTTCCTTCTTTCTCCTTCTTTATTATATTCTTCTCCTTTTCTATTCTTTCTTCTCTCTTCCCCTTCCGCTCTTTTTTCCTTCTTTCTTTTCTTTCTTTGTTTTCTATCCTCTTCGTTTATCTTTCTCCATTTATTTCTACCTCATCCTTATTTTCTTTTAACCTCTTTCTCCTCCTCCTTCCTTCCACCTTTCCTTCTATCTTCTTTTTCCTTCTTTCCTTTCTTTCTTACTTCTTTCTTCCTATTCTTCTCCTCCTTTTCCTTCTTCTCTTTTCTTTTTGTTTTCTTCCCCCTTTCCTTTCTCCTTTATTTCTTCATCCTTCTTTTTAACCTTCTTTTCTTCTTTGTTTCTCTTCTCCTCCCACCTCCTCCTTCTCCTTCGTTCGATATTTTTACCTCTCTTCCCCTTTTCTTCCTACCTCTTTCTCCTTCTTTTCCTTCTTTCTCTTCTTTCTCCACCTCCTCTTCTTTCTATATCTTCTTCTCCTACGTTTGTTCTTCTCCTTTAATTTCTTATATTCTTCTCCTTCCTTCCCTTTCCTTCTTCTCTTCTATTCTTCTTTTCCTTCTTTCTCTTTTCTCTTCTTTGTTTTTTCCCCCTTTCCTTCTCTCTGTTTATTCTTTATTTTCTTTCCTTCTTTCTCCTTCCCCTTTTTCTATCCTTTTTTTTAACCTCTTTCTCCTCCTCCTTCTTTTATCTTCTCCTCCACCTCCTCCTTCTACTTCCCTTCTTCGTTCTTGTTCTTTCCTTTCTTTCTTCCTTCTTTTCTTCCCTACCTCTCCGCTCTATTCTTTTCCTTCTTTCTCTTTTTGTTTGTTTTCTATTCCTTCTTTTCTTTTCCTTTTTTTTTACCTCCTTTCTTTTATAATTCTTCTTCTCCTCCTCCTTCTCTCCTCCTCTTCCTTTCTTTCTCTTCTTTTTCCACCTTTCCTCCTTTCTACCTTCTTCGTTCTTTTCCTTCTTTCTTTCCTTTCTTTTATTTCTTCTTTCTTCCTACTCTCTCTTCCCTATTCTTCTATATTCTTCTTTCCTTTCCTTTCCTTCCTTTTCCCCTCTTTATTTCTTTTTCCTTCTTTTCTTTCTTCTCGTTTTATTCTTTCTTTCTTCCTTATTTTCTTTCCTTAATTCTCTCTTTTTCTTCTTCTTTATTCTTTCCTTCTTTTTTTTAAATCCTTTTCCTTCATTATCTTTTTCCTTTTTATTTCTTTCTCTCTTTTTGTTTTTCTTCTTTCTCCTCTTTCCCCTTTTTCCTTCTCCTCCCCTTTTCCTTCTTTTCTTCTTCTTCTCATATTCTTTTCCTTCTTTCTCTTTTCTTCCTACCTCTTCCCTCTCCTTTTTTTATTTCTTTTTTCTTCTTTTACCTCTTCCTAAATTTTCTCCATTTCCTTCTTTTCCCAATATTTGTTTTTATCCTTCTTCCTCTCCTCTTTCTCTTCTCCTCCACCTCCTCCTTCTACTTCTTCTTCGTTCGATTGTTCTTTCCTTTCTTTCTTACTTCTTTTCTTCCTACCTCTTCCGCTCTATTCTTTTCCTTCTTTCTCTTTTTCTTCTTTGTTTTCTATCCTCTTCGTTTATCTTTCTCCATTTATTTCTACCTCATACCTTATTTGTTTTTAACCTCTTTCTCCTCCTCCTCAATCTTTCTCTTCTCCTCCACCTCCTCCTTCTACTTCTTCTTCGTTCGATTGTTCTTTCCTTTCTTTCTTTTTTCTTTTCTTCCTACCTCTTCCCCTTTCTTTTCCTTCTTTCTCTTTTTTTCTTTGTTTTCTATCCTCTTCGTTTTTATCTTTCTCCATTTATTTCTACCTCATACCTTCTTTGTTTTTCCTTCTCTTTCTCCTCCTCCTCAATCTTTCTCTTTCTCCTCCACCTCCTCCTTCTTTCCACTTCTTCTTCGTTCCTCTTTTCTTTCCTTTCTTTCTTACTTCTTTTCTTCCCCTTCCTCTTCCATTTCTATTCTTTTCCTTCTTTCTCTTTTTTCTTCTTTATTTTTTCTATCCTCTTCTCTGTTTATCTTTCTCCATTTATTTCTACCTCATACCTTATTTGTTTTATCTTTCTCCTTCCTCAATCTTTCTCTTCTCCTCCACCTCCTCCTTCTCTTCTTCTTCGTTCATTGTTCTTTCCTTTCTTTCTTCTTTCTTTTCTTCCTACCTCTTCCGCTTTTTTCTTTTCCTTCTTTCTCTTTTTTCTTCTTTTTGTTTTCTATCCTCTTCGTTTATCTTTCTCCATTTATTTCTACCTCATTGGGGGTTTGTTTTTAACCTCTTTCTCCTCCTCCTCAAAACTTTCTCTTCTCTCCTTCCTCCTCCTTTCCACTTCTTCTTCCTTCATTTGTTCTTTCCTTTCTTTCTTTTTCTTTTTTCCTCAGCTCTTCCTTTCCCATTCTTTTCCTTCTTTCTCTTTTCTTTTTCTTTGTTTTCTATCCTCTTCGTTTATCTTTCTCCATTTATTTCTACCTCATACCTTATTTGTTTTTAACCTCTTTCTCCTCCTCCTCAATCTTTCTCTTCTCCTCCACCTCCTCCTTCTACTTCTTCTTCGTTCGATTGTTCTTTCCTTTCTTTCTTACTTCTTTTCTTCCTTACCTCTTTCCCCTCTATTCTTTTCCTTCTTTCTCTTTTTTCTTCTTTGTTTTCCTATCTCTTCGTTTATCTTTCTCCATTTATTTCTTTTTACCTTATTTTGTTTTTTCCTCTTTCTCCTCCTCCTCAATCTTTTCCTTCTCCTCCACCTCCTCCTTCTACTTCTTCTCCTTTGTTCGATTGTTCTTTTCTTTTCTTTTCTTCCCCTTTCCTTATTCTTTTCCTTCTTTTCTCTTTTTCTTCTTTGTTTTCTTCCTCTTCGTTTATCTTTCTCCATTTATTTCTTCCTCATTGTTATTTCCTTTCCTTTCTTTCTCCTCCTCTCCCCTTTCTCTTCTCCTCCCCTCCTCCTTCTACTTCTTTTTTCGTTCGATTCTTTCCTTTCTTTCTTACTTTTTCTCCCTACCCTCTTCAATATTCTTTTCCTTCTTCTCTTTTTCTTCTTTGTTTTCTATCCTCTTCCCAATTTCTCCATTTATTTCTTCTTTTTTTTTTGTTTTATTTTCTTTCTCCTCCTCTCAATCTTTCTATTCTTCTCCACCTCTTCCTTCTTCTTCGTTCATTTATTTCTTTTCTTTTTTCTTCTTTTTTCCTCCCTCTTCCGCTCTATTCTTTTCCTTCTTTCTCTTTTTTCTTCTTTGTTTCTTCCTCTTCGTTTATCTTTCTCCATTTATTTTCTCATACCTTATTTGTTTTTAACCTCTTTCTCCTCCTCCTCAATCTTTCTCTTCTCCTCCACCTCCTCCTTCTACTTCTTCTTCGTTCTATATTTCTTTTTCCTTTCTTTCTTACTTCTTTTTTCCTACCTCTTCCCTTTCTATTCTTTTCCTTCTTTCTCTTTTTTCTTCTTTTTTTCTCTCCTCTTCGTTTATCTTTCTCCATTTATTTCTACCTCATACCTTATTTGTTTTTAACCTCTTTCTCCTCCTCCTCAATCTTTCTCTTCTCCTCCACCTCCTCCTTCTACTTCTTCTTCGTTCGATTGTTCTTTCCTTTCTTTCTTACTTCTTTTCTTCCTACCCTCTTCCGCTCCATTCTTTTCCTTCTTTCTCTTTTTCTTCTTTGTTTTCTATCCTCTTCGTTTATCTTTCTCCCATTTTTCCTCTACCTCATACCTTTTTTGTTTTTAACCTCTTTCTCCTCCTCTTTCAATCTTTCTCTTTTCCTCCACCTCCTCCTTCTAAAACTTTTTCGTTCTTGTTCTTTCCTTTTTTTCTATCTTCTTCTCTCCTACCCCTTTCTTTCCATTCTTTTCCTTCTTTTTTTTTCTTCTTTGTTTTTTATCCTTTCGTTTATTCTTTCTCCATTTTCTCCACTACCTCATACTTATTTGTTTTTTAACCTCTTTCTCCTCCTCCTCAATCTTTTCTCTTCTCCTCCCCTCCTTCTTCTTTTTTCTTCTTCTTCGTTCCTTGTTTTTCCTTTCTTTCTTTCTTTCTTTTCTTCCTACCCTCTTCTCCGCTCCATTCTTTTCCTTCTTTTCTCTTTTTCTTCTTTGTTTTCTATCCTCTTCCTTTTCTCTTTTCCAATCTTTCTACCTTTACCTTTTTTTTGTTTTTTTTAACTTTTCTTTTTTCTCCTCCTCCTCAATCTTTCTCTTCTTCCACCTCCTCCTTCTATTC